AAAAAAWATAKATATTGTACATGCTTGTACTACACAAACATTTTGAATTCATCCATTACTCCATCAACCTCTCCTTTGAATTCCCTACCATTTGATTCATGCATACATGATGTGGTGYGTTTGTTTCATAASGTGACAGGTGCTATATGTTTTTCAGATTTCATCAAATACCAGTTTAGATAACATRATAGACGTTTCATCACTGGACTTTCCTGAGTTACCTGTTGAAACCAAACCTCCACCRATGGAGTCAAAGCCACAACCTCCATCAAACACAGCTGGTAGTCAAGATATCAATAATGTTTATCCTTCATTAGTTTCTTCCCTTAAACCCTCACCACCAAAACACACACCATACCAACATGGACTGACTAATGATRGAAWGTCTGCACAAAACAAGCTGCCTAATAATTTACATGTACAAGAACMAGAGAAGAAGACAGATATCCCTACTAGACCACCTCTGACAGTACCASAAGCAGGAAATTCCACAAATCCTGTCAGTAAACCAAATGAAATTCCTCGTAGTTGGCAGCAGCCTTATTCTGTACCAGCTAATCAGGACTTAAACCAGGATTTAAGCAGACCCCTGGATCAACCAGCATCACGCCAACACACTACAGCTCCAGGAATAAAACAGAATGCTTCAAAAATACCTGATGATAAATCTCTTGATCAATTGCCAAGAAATCAACAACCTAACYCATCACATACCATGAATACTGCCAATCAAATCCCAGGTCCTCCTGTTCAACCAGTATCTGGACCAACTTCAAGAAATGAGAATATTATTCAAGGACCAGCATCATCTTCAACTGGTTATATTGGTATCCCAGGACAGTCAACAARTGCAATCAATCAGAGTAGTCTTCCTGGACAGACTACAAAATTTGAGCCGCCAAAGGAGTTTCCTGGAAGTGCACCTGTTTCAACTATTGGAAATAGCATTCCAAGACAGACACCCATTATAACCAATCTAAACTCTTTTCCTGGACAGACACCCAGCAACTATGCCCCTAAGCAGCTTGTTGATCACAGACCTACACCACCACCTTCAAATTTCCAGAATCACGTTCCTGGAAATCTTCCAAGTACACAGGTTACTGGTCAGAAGCCAGGGCTCCCACCTATATATGGACAATCAGTTATTCCTAGCTCACAAACACCTCAAAATGTAARCAAACSAACATCAAATCAGGGGGATGCAAAATCTGTTGTTCCTCCATCAGAGATAAATCAAATTGGATATAAGACAACCAAGGGGTTTCCCCATGGATGGGAAAAATGTGTAGATAATAACAACAGAGTCTTCTACAAAGACCACAACACACAAACCACACATTGGAATTTACCAAACAGCATAACAACACAGCAACAAAATAAACCAACTAATCAAGATACAATTACCACACCAAAACAGCAAATTCCCAAACAACTTGGAACTACTCTTCCTGGACAAACAAACAAGCTTAAGTCAAACWTRCGGCGATCTTTATCTTCACCAAATTTAGCAAACCTAGATGATGATAGTAAAGAAGATAACATTAAAGTTGATCCTGTAATTAACAGATCACTCAAGCCAGCTGCTAAACCTTCTTTTAACCGCAGTGCTAAACCATTGACAACACTAAAAATAGACTCTCTAAATCCTGTCCATGGAGGAATTGGGCGTGGTCTAACAGGGTTACGCAACCTTGGCAATACATGTTATATGAACTCAGTACTGCAATGTCTGTTTAGTACAGCACCACTCGCACAGTACTTTATTTCTGGTACTTTTAGAGATGACTTGAATACCAGAAACCCTATGGGGACAAGAGGTAAAGCAATAGATAAGATTAACTAAAAAYGAAGTGAAATCTGCCGCAAAATACGAGYAAAGTGAGCACAAAATTGATATAAAAAATTAGAAGACTAGTTSCTATTTTTGTGTYATTGGTTATCATTCAGCCAGAACCAAATGGAATACAGTTCAGAGATATTACAGTTTTAATTCAGGCATTCTTAGCAAAAGACATTTTTGCAGGCTAAATATTTAGCTAAATGATGTGTAGGCTGTTTATGAACTATAACTTCATTTTAYTTTAGGAGAATTAGCAGAACAGTTTTCAATTCTTGTTCGAGTTGCAAATTCTGGACAATTCAAGTCTCTGTCTCCAGTAGACTTCAAGAAAACTGTGGGTAAAATCAAGTCAACTTTCTCAGGGTTTGATCAGCAGGACTCACAAGAATTCTTAGCCTTGATGATGGACAAGCTTCATGAAGATGTCAACATGGTATTAGTGTGAAGCTTATTATAGTTTTGAGTCATGGTTMTTGAWAAACTCAAATTGGTTGTTAATTGAAGATTTTTTTGGTCAAGAATACTTATAATGTTTTGTTTTGTTGTTCAGATCTTGAAGAAGCCTTATCTTGAGGCGCCTGGTGATGAGATAGAACCAAGCCAAGCTGCAGAAATGTCATGGGCCAATCACAAAAAGAGAAATCAATCAATCATGCTGGAGCTTTTTGATGTAAGGAATGATGTAGTATTTTGTCTTGGAGTTTAAATGAGTAAAAAATCAGATAATATTAGATAAAAGATGCATGAATTGACAATCAAATCGATAAATGAATGAGAGCWTATAGCAAATGCCAATTATGTCATCCTACCAGCAGACAAAGCCAAATTGAATATCTGATTCTTTTCAGGGTTTGTTCATGTCTACTGTTCAATGTCTGGTGTGTTCCAAGAAGTCTGTTACATTTGAAACATTCTCCAATTTAACTCTTCCCATTCCAGCAAACTCAAACCATTGCACTTTGCAGGTAACATTACGATTGCTTTCAATTAGATATCTCTCTTGAATAAAACCACCTTCTTTGATTGCCAGGACTGCATCAGCTTGTTCACACGTCCTGAGAAGATGTCAGGTGATGATAAATGGTACTGCCCAAAGTGCAAACAACACAGAGAAGCTAGCAAACAGCTGCAGATCTGGMGACTACCACCAATACTGGTCATTCACTTGAAAAGGTCTTCATACTAACATCAGTAGTTTTTCAAATCAAGTTGCACTATGCCAAATATCAAGGATTTGTGTTCACATGTTGAAGTGTTGGAAGATGTAGGCCTTTGTTTTTTCCTTATCTGGAAAGTTCCGTTATTGAGAGCAATTCTTATTTTGTGATCGTAAATGACAAAATTAAATAGCTGTATAACTTCTTTTCCAGATTTCAATATGATGGTATGTGGAGACAAAAGCTTCAAACTGGTATTTCCTTCCCCCTTGTGAACCTGGACATGACAGGCTATGTGAAGGGGCCAAAATCTCAACAGCCATACTCTTTGTATGGTGTCTCCAATCATTATGGAACCATGCATGGGGGACATTACACTGCATTTTGCCGCAACTCACATGACAAGAGATGGTACAAGTTTGACGACCAACTTGTATCTGAGCTATCTAGCAAAAATTCCATAGTGGTAAGGTTTGTTACATTTCATTTCTCTGTAATTAGGTTACTTATCTCCATATTTCTCATTGCAGACATCTGCAGGATACCTTCTGTTTTATACTTCAATTCCATTCCAGCCACCAAAGATATTTTAATGCCTTAGGCAATCATCTTTATCAATACAAATAATATAAATAAATAAAAATTCTGAAAAAAAAATCTTTATGAATACCTTAAAGAATTGAATAATATTCTGAAACTGCTAGGGACAAGATTGAGACATATATTTGTCAGAGATCTTATTGCTTATCAGTGATTGTGAATGCAGGCAAAGAGTTTAACAAATGAAGCTTGGTTTTTGTCAAGTATTAAAACCAAATCACTGACAGCCTTTGATGTAAATAGAAACCATCAGCTGAGAAATAAATTGATACGATATTTCTGTAAATAAGATGTAAATAAGCAGTTTTATAGGGGTATTTTGCTCAGACTAACCATGAAAARTATATAGATGAGTCTTTTGTAATCTTGTTAATACAAGAAATTTGAGTGCTTATAAAGTAAAAACAGTTTGAAACATCGAAATGTTCAACTCACAACTGACAATAAGACTGAGAAAAAAAACTTACAATAACCAGAGATTGAATGCTTGAGTTCACACTAAAATAATAGACTTGAGCTTTCAATCTATAGAACTGGATTCAAATGCAAGAGTGAGCAATCACATTTGTGTCCTTATTAGGCAAGACACTTTACTCTCTCAGTTCATTGTCTTCTAAGAAAGGCTGGAGGTTCYATCTCTCTATGATACTTCAAATTAGCACCCAAGGGATGTCCCACAGCAMTATCAGGCTAAGAGTAGGGAGAACAGTTCCTGGGAGTATATAGTCAGAGTGTACTTAATTTGGAGCAAAGCTCTGTTGTGTTTCCCTCACAAATTTATTTTGGCAAAAGCACAATGTACGAATAAAATATAGTCATTTTTCACACATGTTTATAATATAATCATCATATACCAAACATACAACAGRTTTCATGAAAAACTAACTATAAAGAAATGTCAAATTAGTTCAAGTAAAAACTTGTATTTGTTGAGGTAAAAATATACGACAATAAAGATTGAAACATTGTCTCTTTAAAAAACGTCAGTTAGAACCTGAATCAGTAAGATGTCTGTCAATGTTTTATGATGGTTGGTGCAATCATCTTGTGATGTGAGTAATACTGACATTTTTCCTCTGGTTTTATATCCATRACTTCAGTTGAAATCATTTCTCTCTTAAATCCTGCCTCCAGTAGATGACAAACTTGTGTCTCTTGGAACATTATTTCAATGTCCTGATACTTTGTCTTCATGAGCTCCCCCCATGAYGTCAGGTTACAATAGGTTAACACYCCCCCTGGTTTCAAGAGTCGAAAGGCATGACCCTTAATAAATTCAAATTGATGAGTGTGCCAGGTCTCCTCTGACAGGGGGTAGGTGTCGTACATAATACCATCAAATGAATTACTTTCAAGGTTGGGTACTACATCTTGCCATAGACCTASAAGCCACAAGTTGATTTAAGATCATTACAAAGAGCTAATATAAGGCCCTGTTAAAAGGGGTTATCCTGGAAATATTGAATTTCTGYAACCAGATATTGTGTTGAATGACCTGTCAAAATGTACTTTCCATCACAAAATGGAGAATCTGAAAAAGTGACCTCATAACCATGTGTGGATATGTACATTCACCTATCCAGGGCTCTTTATGGAATCACTAGAAAGGTTTTCATATAAATTTTTAGTGCAGAAATTTTTGTAACACGATAGACTATTTCATTGAACACGTTTTAACCGCAAACCCATCATCACTTATTAGACTAGAGATTGTCGAGCGTGATGCAAAGCAGGCTATCATTTGTGTCCTTGACTCAAAGCAGGAGAAAGTATTTGGCAATGTCAACGATAAGTTTTAGAAATTCTAAAGCTTCGAAAAGCCCGCTCACACTCAACTATCGATTAATCTATCACATTGTATAATCAGCTAATGCGTACTCCAGCTTTGAATTCTCTTTTGTGCAAGCTTAGCTTCAATCAAGCATAAATTGTTTATTGTCTTCTTTGTAAACAGAGTGTTTGCATTACAATAGGATMTCTGCCGAATAAAAAGAATATATTACATGCTTCGAGGTTAAGACTGCACAGATCTCGATTTCATTGATTGATGTTGTTCAGCTTCTTACCTTTCAAAGAAGTCACTTTATGAGCAGCTGTTTCTGAAAACTTCTGAAGTTTTTTAAAGACGCCATCATTACATTCAATAATGACATGTTCTTTTATCGGAAAAGATTGTATTTTTGAAGCCGAGATGGCCATACCAAATCCAATTTCTAAAACTTTTCCACCTGTCGATGCTGCAATACTGGCAAGTTTGTGCATATAAGGTGTCTCCCAACGCTCCATAACCGGTTTCCCCATGATTTTAAGATGTTCATCTGTAGCATCGTATTCAGCATTAGCGTCCTTCCATTTAGGCTTGCAGTCTTCTCCTTCAGTAAAAATCTTTCCTGACGCGTCTTCCATGATTCTGCTGCAATGCGACCCCCAGTCGCAGCGAGTCGCAGCCAGTGAACCGGTAAGTCACACAACACCATATTTGGCGAGTGAAAAAAATACATGTGTACATGTGTACCGAATGAAGATCACAATGCCGTGTTGCATCACCTTTGCATAAGCGTCTTTTTACAGCACAAATCGTTGCATCGATAATAATCGAACCTCCATGCATGAATCTTTTATAACAGCAAGCTGTAGAAGGATGTGTATTATAATTATATTATATTATATTATATTAGTTTTTATTACGATATTTAATTACGCAATTCAGCACCTCAGCTGCAATGTAATTTATTTTAATAAAGTTCTTCTTCTTCTCTTCATGCCGGATCCGAATACCTACTTCAGCAGGAGTAGTAATGGGCTCCTGACTTCAGAACACTCTGGGAAGACACGTGGAAGGCTGAGGTGTGTTCCAAACGTGTCACGGGTACATATCATGGAAACGAAACATTTTATGACAACAACATTRATATATACGTCTCTTCATTTGAGACACCCTTGACAAATTTCTGGATCCGCCCTTGGTTGGCGTACAATTTTCAAAGACGTTAACAGACTACACTATACATACCTAAAAATCGTTCATTGTTATACTGACCACGCCCTGTGCGGGCTCTACTACATTATAGCATCTAATGTATTTTGATATTAAAGCTCTACCAATGTCTCTGTAATTGTTATTAAATATAAGACAGATAAAAAAGTTATAGCATGAATTTATGTGTATCATAAAAAGACAAATGAACTTCAAATCTACTCCTGATAAATCCATTCCAAAAACGAGAAGTACCACTAAAACACTAACGCAAAGAGAAGTCAGAAGCAACGATACCACAATTGCCACGCACATCTTGAAGACTTTCTTGTTTTGGTATTCTCTTCTTCTCCGTACAGAGTCAGTCTGATGCCCTGGTATCGTATGTCGACGGAGTTTGTAAACTATGAGCGGATAGATTATAGTTATACCAAGTGTGGGTAATAGGTACATGATGAATATAACATACATGAACGAATTTAATACAAACCCGTTCAATAAACAATATCTTTTTCCATTCAACGATTTTATGTTCATATAATATGGAAAAGGCCAGGAGAAAGAAACAGCAAAGATCCATAATCCTGGGAGGATATATTTCAGTCGGGATTTGTACAATCTTGCTTTCATTGGATGGGCTACMRCATAATATCGGTCRATGGCAATCAAAAGRCAACTGTACATAGCAACGTAGAAGGTAAAACATGGCGGAAAATATACCATCTTACATAAAGCGACAGCAATTTCACCATCAAATATCMATTCATATGTGTAAAACACTTCATATACTCTTATGGGAATTGTAAAAACGGTGTTAATAAGATTAGCAAATGCCATGTTCCCTACGAAAATATTGGTGGTAGTTCTGAGTCTGTTGTCTTTGTAGATTGCCCAAATAATAAAGGAGTTTCCAACGACAGATATCAAAAATGCCACGCAATAAGCCAACGACTTTGGCAGTTTGGTGGAAAGAAAATCCACCTCGTTATTATTAAAAGTCCAGCTTCTATTCAAGGAAATGTTTGTGGTAATATTGGTCATCCTGACTACCAAAAACTTTTCTTAAGGGTTAAGAACTCCTTTGGATGTAAAAATGGCACTTTGAAGATGACTCAAAAATCTCAGAATAAACATATAAGCATCGAGTCACAASTCACCACATGGATTAGTTAGAATTKCAAAGCTGAATACACCTGTKCATCAGTTATTGATCACAAAGTAGTCATTTATCAAATTATTTATTCAATTCTCTTTTTTAATTGAAAAAATAATTACATTAAAAGGAGCAGGAATAGGTTTCATTAATGCCTGAACTAATTAACATGAAAGCCATTGGATAATGCAACTTTAAACAACATTGGGTAAATCATTTTCAAATAGGGCATACTACTATTGTGCGTTTTCAGACATTGTCATACTGATCTGCATTTTGGTTGCATTGCATTGTATTTCTTTAACGACTGGGAGCCAATATAGAAAAACACTACAAAAGCAAATCACTTTGGACGAAGCCAATTCAAAAACATTCAAAGCAGACCCTTGAATTGTTTCAAAGTTCTACTGGATGCTTAAAGAATAAATAAATAAATAAGATGATGTCAGGTGGTAACATCTACACAATGACTATTTTGCRGTTTTCCTTCTTTTTGTAATTCCTTGTCTTCAAGCTTTGTCTTCTTTGATTTAGAGYRAAACCAAAGTTTATGTGCTAAAAGAYATTAGAAATGCAAAAAATGGTCATTACCAGCTAGTGTTGACTAAACTAGTTTTCATTACACTGTGCAGAACTTACCGATACAGTCTAAATTGTTGGTTGAGGTTTTTTCTTTACAGCAGTGTCTACATAATTGACTTTCACATCTTGCACTCTATAAGATACAATACAATRATATTGATGTCATTAACAAACTCAAGAATCAATTAACATTATGATATGATAGCCATGAATTATTGTACAAGTTTACCTTGGGATTAATTTTACATTCTGTACAAAAACACCAATCAACTGGCACTATTGAAACAACACAAATARGTCAAGAAGAATTCATGTTGAGAAAATGTAAGCCCTTGATTCTTACCTCTACTTTTACGTTTTAATAATTTCTTCTGTTTTCTAAGAGCTCTTCTTATTTGATTTTCACTGCGTTCTTTATTTTCATCATTTGTTACTTGTTTCTGTTCTGATGCTATTTCTTTAGGACTAAAATTACAAGATCTTACTGTTACCTTGCAAAAACTATCTCTTTGCTATCAAATAATCTATATTTACCTGGGTCTGACATAGGGCTGACACACCCAGTGAGGAAGTCCTGAGAAAGGAATAGGTTTATCGGAATTGTCTTCTGCATCTTTCTGCGTATGCAATAAATAACTGGCATTTAACATGGTCAGTGCTCTTACTAGAGTTTCTCAAAGTTGCTTTTCAAAAATGCCAAACACATAATCAGTCATCTTTGTCATCATACCATCATCATCATAACTATCCTAGCATACCTTGACTCTAAGTGTAATATCTTTATTAATCTTTTTCACCTCGTCAAGAGATTTAGAATCACCAAGTTTCATTCTAAGGTCAGTATGCTTGCATAAACTAAAAATAAAGAAAATTAAAATGAGTACAACATGAAAAGTAAAGTTAAAGTCATAATCACCATTATACAAAACAATAATCACCATTATACAAAAAAATACCTGTGGTGCCATAGCTTAAATAAATGACCTCTGACAGCAGATAACTGACAGGGATATTTATCAACAAATTGTAGGTACTGTTCAGCCATCTCCCAAACCATGGGCTGCTTGTTTGCCAGAAGTGCAGGATTATGGAGATTGCCCTCTAAAAAATAGTTTGAAATCAGCATTATTACTTGGTGTTGGTTTCAAAGCATGTAGCATGATATAACAGATATCAGTATTATACTGACCAGCAGTCATGATGCCATCAACACCAGTATATTCAAGACAATYCTGCACATCCTTGAAATACTGTATGTTACCATTAGCGAAGACAGGAATAGAAACACTATTTCTGAAAAAAAATAAAACTCAATTGAACAATTTATACCAGAAAGTGATTCAAGATGTGATTGCTTRCTCACTTGACAGTTTTGATAATATCCCAACTTGCAAGGCCAGTGTTTGCACCTTTTTGATTTCTTGTTCTGCCATGAATTGTCAACAGCTGTAATTAACAAGATATCCTAAATAATGTTTCTACTGTAGTTGTATTCTTAAAACAACCAATATAATGTACCTGACATCCAGCCTTTTCTAACATTTGTGCATATTCTATTGTCTTGTTGTCATCTTCAAATACTCTTATCTTGCAAGTGATTGGGATGTTGAGTTTTTCATGTGCAAGGTTAACTATTTCAAAATCAAAATATTGACAAAACAAAGGTAACTGAAACAATTTTAGATGTATTACTAGTATCAGGATGAATATTCATTATTATATGCATAAATATTCATGTAAAGAATATGTGCATACAAATATTGCATACAATAATATTGCATACGGTACATACAATAAGCAGTTCCAGCATCTGCAAACAAATTCTAAAAAAATACCTATTCTTGACAATAAGTCCCATTCTTCTTGGAGAAAAGCACCATAATGACCTGTAAAAAATTATTWCAATTCAATTACTTTCAGACATTAYGAACTCACTGTTAACTGATATATTGAATGAAGATCAATACATACCTCTTTTTGCAATGGTTTGTGGACATCCAAGATTCAAGTCAACACCATCACACTGTGACTCAACTAACTTTGCTGCTTCAACAAACGTCTCAGGATCATTGGCACAAAACTATACAACAAAAAACTCAATTAATAACGGYAAATCTTGTTTGTCATGGATTTCTAACTGTTTTAAAAACAGCATTTCATTTTAAGTTAAGTTATATGTAAACCTTACTAAAGCTTACTAAAGCTTACTATTTTGTCTAAATAAGATTGATTTATATTTACCTGAACAATGAGAGGTCTGTCCTCTGTACAAGTCGTAAACATTTCTTTTCTGTAAATAGGATCCTTAACAAACAAACCAGCATGCAGCATTGGTGTATAGCAGAGCTGTGCRTTGTAATGTCGACTCAACATCCTCCAGGGTAGCTCGGATTGGTCAACCATTGGTGCAACAACATACTGTGCAGCCTTTAAATCGTTTCTCCAAAAATTATACCCTTCTCTTTTTGTAGATGACATGATCTTCTATAGAAATGGTGCATATAATCAAAGTTGAAAGAGGGGAACAAGTTTAAATAAACTGAAAATCGAAGAAGCTCCTCAYGTTGTTTCGTCCGCCATATTGGAGTTGCATCACTAATGGGACACATCGCTGGTCAATTTAATCGTGGCTATATGAGCCGATCGTCAATCGTCACGCTAATGAGTGTGACAAGAAGGCCAAAGGTGCCCGAAATAGAACGTTATAATATGAAACAAAATCTTTTTTAKATTTTTAATAAAGTTAGTCTTGTCTTACTTCAGTACTGTTTAGGGGATTTTTTTCTATATATTTGAAAACTAACTCTCATTTAGACCATTTACAACAAAAGAGTTTCCGAAAATATAAGGGRAAAAAATAGAAAAAGAAAAGAGAAAGAAAGAAAAATAGAATTTGATTAAGATAAGATAATAACAATAAAAAGGAAAAAAAATAGAAATGAACTTAAACAGTGAACAAGTAAATAGAAATCCTAGGATTAGAACCCGCTACCCCTAAGCTTAGTGTCAGATTTCTAAGCACCGCCTTAACAAAACGCGCCATTGGACCAMAGTCATTTACATAATAATAGACCSTTTTACACTTTCGCCGAATAGACTACCCCAATTTGACATTATACTTTCGATAGTTGCCTAGTTAGTGCAAGGGGTTATCCATMAGTGTCTAGGGGCCGGATAGCTTCTCCCTCACTGKCTTTTTAGTTAGCGCGAAGTTAGGACCAATTATCGGGATAGCATGGAAGAGCCGAAATCTCTAACCGGAATGTAAATCGATTCGMCGCCTCAGCTTCACAGAATGTCTCGGGGGAATCGTCCCAACCTTTTTTCGATTTTATGGTCTAGGGTTCGAATCCCATGATTGTAGTTTTTTCTTTTTTCATATTACTTTTTTTTGTTTTTATTGTTGTTTTCTTTGATTACCTTCCCACATTAATGTTTGTTTGCAATATCTGCATATCATTTACTATTTTTKCTATATATTTCTATAATGTGATATTTTAAAGTGCGCTTTGATTGGCTTGTTTCATTAAGCGTATAGTAGGTTGTTACAGCGCTGCGATTGCGCGAACGAGAATCAATTTTTAAAGGATGAAGGACAAAGCACCATTGAAAATCTTATTTAATAGTAGTGTTGAATGTCTTTGAAGTGCGGATATTATTATCAACACCGACAGTAACAACGTGTTGTGAGGTAGGCTACAAGGTCCCACCTGGCGGCATCAGCAAAATAGTCAAGGTGCGACACAGGTTGCCCAAACAACGACTTTGAATCTATCATGGTTGAAAAGTAACATAATTTAACTTCTAAAAATGATTTACTTTTATTTTATTTATGCATCATAAATGGGTTTTTAAAAATCTCTGCTCCCTATATAGTGACAGATCCTTTCCAGTTTTCCAATGGAAATTCAAGGACTCTGGTTGGAAATGAATAATTCTTTGATTTGATTGGTTCAAAAATTCCCATGTATCATGTTATAAAACCAGATTCTGGTTTAGTCACGAACCAGCAGCTCCAATTGTTGGGAAACTGAGAAGGATCTGGCTACAATGTGGCCCAATGTCTTTGAATCTGGCGTGCTCCTGGATTTCACCAAGCTCCTAATATTGATAATGACTTGGGCACATAAGAAATATTTGAAGTGTCTAATTTTGATTCTGGAGTTCATCTATTTCATTGGCTCAGATTGTGGATTCCAAAGAAAAAAATTAATTGTTAGGAAATATTCTCATAATAAAAATTGTCTTCTAAACACACAGGACAAGAGTTTGGCATTTACAGTTTATTATTGAACAAAATCAACACTTAATAGTACATATAATCCATAGTATAAACTAGTGAGCATATGTGCAAAATGTATAGATTATATAAACAAAGATATCTAGAAGTATAAAAACTAATTCACTTTTAAAAAGCTCTGTTCTACTGAGGTATAGCCTTCAGGTAAACAGGCTATAATCACTGTCAACAATAAGTCACTTTGTAAATGGTCATTTTCAACACTTYTCACAGTCTTTTGTGGCCAGCCATTTTAACAATTCTTTTGGGTGACAGCCACATGAAAAAGGCAAATGCAGGTGCACRTTTTTGTAATGTTATGAGCATAAACAGTTACAAAGAATCATCAATGTGAAGACAGTAAAGTAGTAAAGAAACAGAGGTTTCTCTGTCAATGTGCCTTTTACCTTTGCTATTGTTGGTTACTTAAGCCTGGCTTTTACTATACCATAAATGTAAGTTAACAACAAAAGAAAGAAATAAGCATAAGCATAAGCAGAGCAATAAACATAAGACCATGCATTAGCTCACTAAAGACAAAATATCTATCGCCTTTCACCTTTATGCTTACAGTGTAGTGAAAACCAGGCTAAATATTTCAAGCTTAAAAACATTGTATGTAACCTACTTCAACTATGTTAATCCTAGACCAATACTCTAATGAGTATTTTCTAAATGGCAAAAACAATGCTTTGATATAGTACTGATATTTAGTAACTGTTGTGATGTAGCATCACCGATTTAGTTAAATATCCCAGATAACCTATAGGCCTAAGATCGATACTTGAAATAGATATTTCTTGCAAACAGCAAAATACAGGCTATGCAAGAACTTATGCAATTTACTTTTAAAAATCTGACCAAAACATGGCATTGTCTACAGAAAACAGTGTACAAGGTGACACTGTAAAATCAATAACAAAACGTTGATATGTCATGGTTGAATAGCTGCTTAATGTCAAAATAAAAGGCAGAAAGTAATAAAAACAATATAATTCTTGCCAGGGTACATAGTTGGTATAGCTAGGTGTCCTGTAGCACACAGTAGCCTTTGATACATGGAGGTTGTCGTCAATACAGTGATGGCTAATCATCCATATCTACATCGCCCTAGAGATAATAGTACATTGATAACATCCRATCAATTTTATCTTCAGATTTCTTCAATACGCAAAGAAATATTAACACTTCACCAAACACTTACATCACGATATGCATCCAACTCAGCATCCAGCTCCTCAGCTGTCTTGTTATTCTGTTTGTATCCCCCTCCACCTCCACCTCGTCCACGTCCACGCCCTCTTCCACGACCTCTTCTTTGTCCTCTTCCCCCTCCTCCTCCTCCTCCTCCTCCACCACCACTTCTTCTTTCAGACCTACCACTAAAACCTCCCCTAATAGAACATAATATGTTAATATGGTAATACTGAGAAGAACCACAAAAAGGAACTATTCATTGAATATGCATGTAGTACTCCTATGCTTACCCTGTAGCCCTTTCAGCCACCACTAATTCAATTTTCATGGCACGRCCTATAGAAAGGAAACAAAGCAGTTAATGATTGTTCTTGGTCAAATGTGAACCACCAGGTTTAAGGTAAAACAACCTGCAACCTAAGAAATCCAAACATAATAGAAAAATCAAAGACTTTTGATGATATGAAAGAACACCTTACCATCCAATGGTACACCATTATACTGTTGTAAAGCTTTCTGTGCATCTTGTTTGCGGAAGAACACTACTTCTGCTGTGCCGAGAGATCTTCCAGATACATCATAATGAACACATGATTTCTTTAACTTGCCAAATTCACTAAATAACTCCTGAAAGAGATAGATGATACCTAATGATAAAACCGTAACAAGCATAATATCAAATATCATTAGTATATTATAGTTAATGAGCCTTGGATTTTCGAGCAATGAAAATATTCTTCTTTAAACACGAAAGTTTCGCAAAGAAGATCTATAAAAAGTTCTGGGTTTCYTTTGTTCCAAAGAAAACTTTGTCAAGTGTCGCTCAGAAACATTTGTGCTCGAAATTTTATCAACATCACAAACTTTAAATTAAGATTCAATAGTAGATTCCTAGAAAAGTGAAAGTAGAAGAGAGAAATTACCGTAATGTCAGAGTCTGAAACTCCGAAGTCGAGGTTTGATATGCTGAGCTTGCTTCCAGTTGACAAGCCGCCACCGCCAAAACTCCGTCGTCCTCCACCAGAAAAGCCACCATCTTCGAATTTATCATGCTGCCACCTATCCGGGACATCTTGAGGCTATCAAAAGAGGAGTTCATAAATACATTTTTCAATTAAAACATTGACAACGACAACGAACTTACTCGAGTGTAAGGATTTGACCGATTTGATCTTCCTCGTCCGCGTCTCATAGCTCCCCCGCCGCCGCCACCACCTCGCCGTCTTCCTCCAGCACCACCACCTCCTCTTCTACCTCTAGAAGACTGTTTATTCTTCTTTATAATGTCGTCTAGCGACATATCGACTTCGTCTTCCGCCATGTTTGATCTTGAACCGCGTGGGTGAACGAGACGCCGGACAATAAATTATAGGATAGCCACGTAACCAAAATTATATACTGGGGAGGGGAGGGAGGGGAATGGGAATGAAAACCAATCCCTCTCTTACTGCAATAAACAGGTAGCCCATTTTAGCAATATAACATTTTGAGACATTGACGTCGTTGTGGAATACAAGACAAAGTGTCAATTACTGTGGTACATGTACAGCATTCCACAATCAGAACATTTCAATCTTTTTTATAGATTGGTGAAAAATTTTCAATAGCAATTCTGCACACAGAGTTTCTCAAAGTTCTGAAAGGTGTAAGAATTTGTATTAAAAAAWCAGTTTGGAGTACAAACAATTCTTGGAAAGTTGCAGTGCCTTTGCATTTCAGTGATAGGAACAGTTRTTAACCTTTCCTCCTGAACAGAAGCCACTTTGTGTTTCCTGCTAAATCCTAAAATAACACAAAGGAGACCCTGCTCAGGTGGTAATGTATGGTAAAAAGATACCTAAGACAAAATAATATTCTTGAGTAATTATTTTATTATTTACAATAATCCCTCACATCACTGGCAGAGTAAAATATTAAAAAGAATATACATGAACTGATTCTATTACAGGCATGATACACCCTGAGAGCATCATAGAGGATATTAAGCATCTATACAAGGTGAATGACGATGTCAAAAACACTGCATTAGTCTAATAAATCTAAATATTGAAAGGTTTCTGTAACTAATCAAAGGAAATCAGTTCAAGGTCTGACAGTTGTCGTTGAGGTGGTGGTCCAGAAGGCTGTTGCTGATAATACTGATTTACTGGAGGTTGCTGATACTGCTGAGGGTTGGAGTAAGGTGCCTGGTACTGCTGAGGTTGAGGCTCATACATTTGATGCTGTTGTGGAGGTTGTTGTTGCTGCTGAGGTGGTTGTTGTTGCTGGTGTTGAAGTGGTGGTTGTTGCTGGTGTTGAAGTGGTGGTTGTTGCTGGTGTTGAGGTGGGGATGGTTGTTGCTGGTGTTGAGGTGGGGGTGGTTGCTGGTGTTGAAGTTGTGGTTGTTGTTGCTGGTGTTGAGGTGGGGATGGTTGTTGCTGGTGTTGAGGTGGGGGTGGTTGTTGAGGTTGTTGCTGGTGATGAGGTGGTATTGGTTGTTGGTGTGGCTGTTGAGGTGGTAATGGTTGCTGTTGCTGATGTTGAGTTGGTGGTTGGTGATGCTGAGATGGTTGTTGCTGTTGTTGTTGCAGGTGTTGAGGTTGTGTTTGTTGTTGATGTTGAGGTAGTGGTTGATAAAGTTGTTGCTGCTGAGAAGGCAGTGGTTGCTGTGCATTCAATGGTTGCTGTTGAGGTTGAATTGGTTGTTGCTGTTGAGGTTGCAGTGGTTGTTGAGATGGAGGTGGTTGACCAAATCCAGTAGTATCCAGTTGATGTCCTTGATGTGGGGCGAATTGAGGAGGTCCAGTCTGAGCCTGTTGACTGCCATATGTTGTCTGTGATTGGTTAACTTGTGGTAGGTAGCCTTGTGGTGCTTGCTGATTGGCTGCCTGAGCATGCTGTGGTGGTTGAGAGGAAGCTTGAGACTGATATGTTGATGAAGGAAAGGCTGCTTGACCAGGATAAGTACTACCAGGAACTTCTGGTGTTTGCAGATAGTCAGGCACTTGAGGTTGTCCATTTACCATTGATGCTGTCATATCAGGTGTATATTGAGAATAATCCATCTGTTGGTAGGATTGTGGAGGTTGTCCTAAACGTGGTGATTGAGATCGTGTTTGGTTGTCCATTGATGCTGGATTCTCTGGAAAGCCTTGGTTTGGATAGTTCTGTGATCCAGGTTGGGTATAAGGAGGTTGTTGGTTTGTCATGTTGTTTGGTCCCCCTGGAACTGTTGGGATTGATGTTGGAGTAACTCCTTGACCACTTGATGGAGGAATGTAATTCAAAGACGAGTATGGACTGCCTTCACCTTGTTGAGGAGGTAAACTAGTGGGTGGTATGTAACCCATGGAGGAATATGGTGAGCTGCCATCAGAAACACCAAACTGTCCAGCATATGGTTGTCCAGGAAATGATTGTGGTCCATATTTTTGAAGTCTCAACTGCTGYTGTTGTTGTTCCAAAGCCATTTGCCTCTCTGCTTGTACRCGCTGTTGATATGCAATGTACTCTGCCTTTTGTTGCCTCATCAATTCAAGTTTTTGCTCAATTTGCATACGTCTTAACATGTCTTGCTCAAGCTCTTGTTGTCTGACTTTCTCTCTGTGTTGTTCACGTGCATTGTCCAGAGTTGTTCTTGCTTCCTTGACAAGCCCCAGCCTCTCTTTCAGTGCTTCATATTTTTCTGTACATGCAAAATACCAAATATTGACTTAGGAAGGGGGATCCACTGGCATTGGTTTTAAATAATAATTCACAAACCTGTTTCACCCTCCTGCTGCTCTATCAATCTCAAAAGTTGTGGGTGCATAGCGCTTACAGTCTGAAACAATGACTAAAAACAAAAGAATATCATAATGACATTGCTATGAAGGAGAGTATTATATAAGGTTGATTTCCACACCAACCTGAATTGTTGCATCCATAGCAATGTGCTTGCCTTTCCCTGACAGGGTTTGCATGCGCTCAGATAGCATTTCTAGGCTACTGCAGAAATTGTTCACCAATGTTTCTGAGCTCTGATCAGCTTCATTAACTTGTTCTTCTGCCGGTGGATTAACCTGTAATGCATTTTACAAAATCACTAATAGAGATGGCTATCCATGCACAATTCAAAATATTCAGCAAAATGATTATCTGAAACATGTTTGATAAATGATTTATGAACAGAATTCTGTGGTGCTCGTTAACAGATATCAACAGTTATCATTATTAGAGAGCATTATGGTATTATAAAATAGTATATAATTAATGTAATTAGTTTTTTTCTACAATTATATTCACATTAAATTGCTTATTAAAAGATTATGTGCTTAGTRTATATTGTTTATTTCATCATTATAGTGAGTCATTGTGCCCAATTTTAGAAATCCTGTCTCTTTTGAAAAGTTAGATCACAGTTTATAGTTTATAGAAGCTGAAACCAGACAATTCCAGGGGGTGTCCTTGAACTGCATTCACTATTTGATAATACAGTAATGGTTTCATAGTGTACCATATTTTCATTAATGTCCCTTTACACTGTTTTGGTCTGAGCTTCTAGCATACATAATCCATTATGGTTTGAATGTGACAAACTTTCTTTGATTTTGGTGTACATACAGAATGCTAAATTGATGTGTGTACATATATTAATGTTGACATATATGAAATTTAATAAGTTGAGTTATTTCAATGTGCAAAGGAGTCTTAAAGCAAATGGAATGTTAAGTTCACTACTAACATGAGAGGTCTTTTCCAAAACTTGGTATGATTTAGCTTTAAGATTACTCTTCTTTTTCTTTTTTGGCTGGAGACAAAATATTTACAAGCAAAAGTTTATTAATGATCTCAAAATCAGTTTTATTTTAGAATTTTTCACCCAATAAACTAAACAGGCAGTTACAATATACAAAAAARGCATAATTTATTTTCATAATTATTTAGAACAAATAAAATTGAAAATGTTATGCTTTTCTAAGATGATTGATTTGGTGTGAAATTTAAGTATCTAGTATTTACAAAGTTTGATATTACTGCTAACCTCTGCGTGATTGCTATAAGGTGCTGGACCATCACTCACTAATTGTTCTGGTGCAGATGGAGGAGGGTATGACTGCTGTTCATGTCTACCTTCCCAGTATGAACGATTCAAGTATCTTGCAAGCTGTTACACATAAATGATACCAGAATTAAGTATCATGTAAGTAGTKCTGACAATGATTGCATAATTTTAAGCCGAATAATAAAAAAAAAAACCAGAAAGCATGTGTCTTATATTTAAGAACAATAATACATACATCAGGGTCCATATCTGCAGTTTCAGGCTCTTCATCATAAGTCTGAATAAAAGACGTTATGTTAGTTTATTATATCAATTTTGATACAATATAGTGGGGGGTTTTTTCATAATAACTGCAGGCAGCTTGAAAAATGCAGAATGCTCTGTATTTAGTGGAAATGAAATATACAGCTGTAATTGCATTTAGGGAAAAGCAGTAACAATGAAATGAAGACAGATATATAAATCTAATCATAGATCACATGTCAATCCAACTTACAGCTGGTGAATACAATTTGCTGCTTGAGCTTGATGAACCATTGGAAATTCCATCTGATGGTGATGGCCAGGAACGTGMTAGAGGCTTTTTCTATAAACAGTCAATATATCCAAAGCTATAAATACATGGTTTGCTTCAGACAATGAACAATGGGATACAATTTGTTTAAGGATGAATGCTGAACCTCTTTTTGTGCTTCTTCTTGGGATAGTGATAATGCCATGGCAAGCTGCAGCTCTTCCTCTTCCTGGTCTTTTAGTTGTTGTGGATCTCGTTTTGGAGGAGCCTAATATTTACGTAATAGGATATTAATCTCTGTCAATAAACATTAGAAAACTATAATAATGCATTACCTGAGATTCTTTACTTAAAGCACTGTTTAAATATTCTGCAGGAAGATCATTGTCTGAAGATGATGATGTCTTCTGCTCACTCTTGTCTGATTTACTATGCAATCAATCAATCAATCAAACAATCAATCAAAAAATCAATTATGCAATCAATTATTATATGCAATCAAATCAGTCAATCAATCATGCAATGCAAGCTAAATAACAAACACAGTTATCCAAGCCGTAATAAAAATAAATTTTTACCTCTGTGGGTTTAGTTGATAGTAACAAGGATCACAGACTCTGACCTCTCTCTCTATACCAAACTGAGGAATTATGGACTCTTTAGAAGAACATTTTCTACAAAACACTTGACCACACTTACGACAATGATGCTGAAATCAACATAGCACAAATATTAGTATTGGCATTAAATAATAATATTTTTTTATTCCATAAATATCAGAAATATGGTACATTAGAACATATAAATTAACTTTAACAAAAAGATATACTAGCTGTCTAAATAATTGACGTAAAGATTTTGAACATTAAAAACAATACTTTGCAGTTAAATTTATAGAGTCATCTTTCATTGATAATATATTGTAATAAGCAATGTAAAAGAAGAAAATGAAGAGAAAAACTGGGTATTACCTGTCTGAGAAATGTTCCAAACTTGACACGACACATATGACATACATCACCCTCAGCCCATGCTGGTGCCTGAAACACAAATATAAGCTCAAAACAATACAATTAATAAACATTTTGTAGAATACTAAATACATACACAATCAGCAGAAAACATGGCCTCACTCTCTTTGAATGATGGAAATTGACATCCTGCAATAATTGAAGATGTTTCAATAAATATATCCTTTTATTCATAAAATGGAATTTGTACTTTACCTTCCATTTTCATTAAGTTATATGTGTCTGTAATAATTTTGTATTTTGTTTCATTGCGGAACACATGTGCCCATGTCTGTATAAGCTCCAGAGCCTTGTCTTTGACAGGTTCTTGACCAGTCTGAAGTCAAGCAATTAAAATTAATGCTGTGAAGCTTTCCCTTTGAAAGCTACAACCATGAACCACTTTTTCACTATGCACAATACATATGAAKTGAATAAAAATAAATTCATTGCCAGGAAAAGTAAAACACAAACTTGTGTGTTATCTTGGATACTGAAGGAAAAAGTATTTACAAACAAAATGACTAAAAATTTGTATTACACAATATTATGTGCTGATTCTTTATCAAAAGACAGCTGGACAATACACTTAAACAGCTGAAAAAGACAGATTAGAACCATACAGTTTATAAGATGCAAATTATTTAGAAAATTCAGCAATAATCACAATATAGTCAACCAACCCTGATAAGATTTCTCATCTCCTCCATGAATTCTTTAGTACCAATCTCTTCATGGACACCAGAACCACAATTCTTCATACATGCCTCTAGTACCTGAAAAAAATCGTTAGACTATAATACCAGACTGTTTTTAGAAAAGAAAACATTGACAATAATGCATCAAATAAGAAATCAACAAATAAAAAATGAGAATACAAACCTATATAACTTAAAAATACTGTACTTACAATGAGGGCAAATTTTGCTACATGGGGGTTTTTATCAAACATTTTTTTCTTGATGGCTGCTACGGCAAATTTCGGGCTAAAACACGTTGACATAAATATTAAACTACTGCTTTACAATCTTGAGAAATGAATATGTTCACATTGAGTAATTTGTGTTGACTCACGTAACATCTTGTTGGCGAATACAGTCACAAATTTGAAGGATTGAAGCCCAGTCTGGYTCGAGTTGAAGCTGACTTGTAGCTCTCTCTATAAGTAAAAAAAAAAAAATAAAATTGAGCAAGCCATCAACATTAAACAGAAGACTTGAGAATAAGGTSAGCCAATTTTTATAAAAACCTCTTTTGAATGCTCAAAATTACGACACAAAAAATGTTTACTAATAAATTTCAATAAATTCAGACTTACCTAATAAACCACTAAACGTGGAAGACTTCGGCATGTCTAAAAACCACTAGGAAACACAGAGTAAAACGTATATATTCCTAGTTATCACAGAAAGTTATTCTTATATCACCACGATAAAACAAATATGGCTGACTGAGTATCGCACTTCCTTTGATTACAARCTAAAAATAGACCACTGACGTAACTAGTGCCAGGATTCTCGCTTTAGGAAACGGAAGTGAAAACAAACGCCATTGGGAATCAGGTTGCCATTTAATTTAAATTTATTTCTTTGTGCGCTTGATTATTTCAAAAGATTTGTATCGTCCACTACCGTCTGGTGTATTATAAAAGTAAAATTAATGTTCCCCTTTAGTTCAATGTATCACATGACATTATTATCATGACTAGAACGTGCGTCAGCAGTTTTTCCGCGCCGGATGACTCGCTCGCCTCCGCTTTGTCACGTTTAGATTTATAATCATGGTCATGTAGGTTTCATTGGCGAAAATAGAAGCCTGCGTTAGACTTTGAGGGCACTAAGCACTTTCAGTTTCAAGTTGTGTCAAATAAACGAAACGGACAATATTTTGTTTCGTAGGAGACAGGTTGAAGGAGAACAATTAAAGTGGAAAACACAACTGATAATCTTTATTTCACATTTTATTGCATAAATCTTATATTATTAAACAAYGCATATGTGATTTAACTATTGTAACAGTGTTATTTTGTCTTGATTCTAATAATATTAATCTGCATATCCAATCAATTTTCTCTCATTTTCCTGAAAAAAGATCATTGATAATTAATCAAACACGCTGTATCTATTTCTATTTCTATCTATTTCTCTATTAGGACAAGAATACTCTGCATAAGATCCATTTTCCTAACTCARTGAGCCAAGAGAGAATTTGCTACCATTGATTTGCCTGCAGAGTAGTTCAGGAAGTGATTTTTTGTATAGCCTGCTGGTAGCCTGCATGCATAGTTAGTATACGCTGCGTGATAGCACTGGGGAAGGAAGAGTTCACCTAACCACAGAGCCCCATTCDTCTGGGGTAACATTGAGTTATATGATCTCTCCCTGAAGGCGGTAATGAGTTAAGACACTCAACCAACCCCACCTTTACTATTGCTTACCTACTCCCTTAAACCATTTAGGTACCTTACCACCAGATCCCCCTGGGGGTGGTACTGAGTTATTTGACTGGATGGCTATATGTTCATTTGTTGTATTACTTGTGGTTGTTGATGAGTTAATGTCATGCTCTGTGCCGTGATCTGTGGATGGTCTAGAGGTACCAGAACCACGGATGCTACAAAAGATTATAACAATCACTTTCATCAAGAAGTTCTTATTTCAGCATACATTTGATTAACACAAGGAATGCCGTCTTTCACCAGCACGTAAGATAAGCAAAGAGTAAACACTAAGATSGTATAGTTTTGTTTTGCTTGTGCTTATAAATATGTTGTCAAATTTCCATGTAAGGACATGCTTGCACTGTACCTTTCATCAGCAGGTTCATGCAGGATTAAGTCTACCATTATCTAGAGATAGTATACTTACCCAGAATCTAAGACAGTTTTCTCTGCATCTAATGCTGTTGCAACATTACTAAGGAGATGATTGGATAAGAAGTGATCTGTTCAAAGATTTAATAACATATCAGCAATGTTAACAAGTTATTATCTCAAAATGGGTATGTCAAACCTTTCTTTTCTTTACAACCAAAGTACACAAGAGAAGCTGGACATAAATGAGCCTAAACAGAAACACAGATGATAAGATTCAAACACATAACAGCAAAGGTTTCCCTTGGATACTTACATCAAAAAGGGTATCATTCTTGTTCTTCAGTTCAGTCCTTGGTGGAGTTGTATCTAATGTAAAACAAGACCAATTAAAAAAATACAAGAGAGTATAATGTGTGTTCATTACTCACATAAATAGAATGAAATGCCTGGATCTTGTAAATGGGACTTGACAAACTCCATTAGTGCAGACACTGCAGAAAGATGAGCAATGGATTCATTAAAACTTCATTAAAGGTTCAAGATGAGCAAATGCAAAACCACAACCTTTTTCTTGTGGTCTAAAGAAGCCTTGTAAAGCAAATCTGTCAGGGAATTTCACACGAATCACTACCTGTAAAAATATGCAATTCAAAGCATTTTGACTAATTATGTCAGTACTGAATAATATTATACTTACTAACGATGACAATATACGCAACTTACTCTTTCATATTTACACATTTCCTCAAGCCGSCGACTCTCTCGCATTGCTTTTGTCAATAATGGCATGTCTTGTGATTTCACCCTTAAATCAAAACATGAATAGCAAAGACTACTGATTGACTCTTCACTAAACAATTTCTTCATGATGTCTCTCTCACCTTTCACTTTGTAAACCTTGTAACATCTTTCGTAAGTCTTCAATTGTTACATCATAAAATGAGTCTGGTAGGTCTAATGAAGTAAAAAGGAAAAATATGTTCATAATACAAGCTGCAACTAGATCACCCCAGMATGAACAGCAATCATATAACAAACTTAACATATTTGATGTAGAGTGAAAAACATATCAATTTATTGTTGAGAGGTACCTTGGTCTTTTACTGTTAAAGTTTGATCATCTTCTTTAAATACAACAGGACATCGCTCACAAGGTGTAGCAAGAAAATGAAGCCTTTCTTCAGTTACACTAACAACACATAAATGATACATCATTAGTTCAAAGAATGAAAGCTAGAGAGGAACTCACATAATGCATTTGGTGAAAGTAGATTAACTTACAGTGATGATTGAGTCTCAGAAATCTTAACAGCAGGACGATCTGGAAACTAATAAGAAAAGAAATACCAGAATGAATTACTAAACCAGAGAAGGTATTGGTAAATAAAGAAAATCAACCTTAAAGTCAGGAAACAAAGGATCTGGTCCAGCAATTCTGRTTCTTTTTGGATCTCTTGCAGCTGGAAAGAAAAACAGTTACAATATTTTTTTTGTGTTTTTTTTTCAGTGTGTTTGCTATATTTTTTTAATAACAATTGTTTCATTAAATACAATGATATGTCAGCATATATCACACCTCTATCAGGACTGACAGTCTTGGAGTCCAATTGTCTGTGTCTGTCTTGTGCTASTGGAGTTACATTTGATATCTCTTCTTCAATACCAGATGGCAATTGCCTATCTTTTGCTTGTACATTTGTTKCAGTAATMKGACWAGACTGATTGGAGGATTCCGGAAATGATTCTTTTTGTATTGAAGATTTTTTAGGTTCAATGACAGCAGGTTCACTAGAGATGGTAGATACTTCATGAAGTAATCTGATAATGGCTCTTTTTCCAGTCAGACCAAGACTATGCAGGGTTGTATTCTTYAATGTATGCTCTCCACTTACCTGTAAAATCAATGACTCTTCATTTATGACCAGTAAACAACTAATCAAATAAAAAAACTTACTCTTTGTGTCATATAAACACAGACAGCCTCTTGTCCTTTTTSTCCTGTTAACTTTTCATGGTGAGGACTAGAAAGACCAGTAGTACATTAGTCATRCAGCAAGATACACAGTTGTGAAGATAACAGCTTGGAATCAGACAAAAACATCAAACAAAAAAGTGGGAGGACAATGGTTATTTTTAGATCAACAATGTTTTTAGAATGGATTTTCCAGATTTGTGGATAAGTATGAATGTAAATAATGGTAACTAAGTTCAGGAATTAATGGTTTTAGGTGATTTTTTTTTTGTCAATTTGAACAATAAACACACAATGCCATATGATTCAAAATGATCACATGAAATTTAACTATTGTAATCAAACTAATTGTGTATTGTAATTCTTAAAACATCTACCTATCTTCTTGAGAGTTCCAATATAAAATAACATCCCATAAAGAGTATTCTGGAGGGAAGTCTTTCAAAAGTCTTTCTCCAGATGCTAGTTGTAGTGCTATAGTACATGGTGCATCTGTTGTTAGCAGAAAAAATAGTTTTGATTATTATATTAAAGTTATTTTTCATCATTTGMCTAAAGYGGATTTTGTGAAGTCACATGAAATCTRTTATGCAGTCAACTCTTGCTATTACTGACACTCTCGGGACCGTAATTTAGTGTCAGCRGTAGCGAGAGTCTGTAGTAACRGGAGTTATTTTCAATTATTTCTTTGCTTTCAATGGGGATTCAGTRTTTCCTKTCTTGTAATATYRAGCAGTCTGTTATAGYGGMGTGTCCRTAAGYGAGAGTTGACTGTAATAGTTACATAATATCAACAGAGGGATTTGAACACTAATAAACATCATCTTCAAAAGGATTTCAGTTTGCATTTGTAGCATATAGACAAATATATTCTTCCTAAATTATGAAATAATATGTAGAAGTCTTTAATAAATATTAGTATTCTTGTAAAACTTTGATATTATTAGAGTTGATGATTACCATTTTTGACAGTCTTTGTGTGTAGCACCACCTCAAGGTGTGCATTATTAGACAGTCCTGAATACCTTATTGGTAAAGTCTCATCCAGAATCTTTCTTTGATGCCTAATGAAGTCAACAAATTCACCAAATATAACCACAAATATTCTAATTTATTAAATGTGAAGAATTGACATAATTTTGATTTCCCACTCATGTACATCATAATTTTGCTTACTTTATAGCATATTCCTGACATGATAAACCTTGCTTTTTACAAACCTCCTCTAAAATCTTTGAAAGAGAAAGAAAATCTTAAAATGGGAATCAGCTGGAAAAGACAATATCTATTAAATTTAAAGCGTTTGGAGGCAATTGTTTGAGTTCTTATTCTGTACGAATAATCATCGTTATACTCACTTGTAGTATAGTTGTCGTAGGGCCAACTTTCACTGTTTGTCGCCGTGCATTTGGGCAAAGAACAACAACACTCTTGCAGGCAGCCATTTTGAATGACTAGGCACATAATAAAACACAGGGAGCCCAAAAACACAGGAAGCCCATGTGTAAACACAGCCTCAAAACAGAACCAGAGCACAGAATTTTGTTTTTATCTAAGTATTAAAAATCATYAATGGCTTAAGTATTAAGGTAATATATCCAATTATTTATTTATTAYTTATTTTTTACACAATTTATTTTCAGCAAAATTTCTTTCATCAATTTCCRCCTTATTCCAGTATTATAAACAGCAGGAGTCCAAATGTGCACTTCATTACATCTACACTTGCCCAATTTGCATAGAATAACAGCAACCAACTTGAATCACCTCATTACAGGTTTATGCTCTTTCTTATACCATCTACCAACCTTTCAAGAAAGGTTGACTTATGATTTGAGTGGTGAAGATTGCAGTGTAGACCAATTTGGTGGATTGATTTGAAACATCTGTCATTTTAGGTTGAAATAAACCTAAGCAGGAGGCATACTAATTTTTTTAACAGGTGAAAACATAAGCAAATATYGGAAAACTTKTTATCAGCTCATARTCAAAAATTATCAAAAATAATGCTCATCACTTGAAAGTGTCAACCAGCTTTCTGTCATACTGTGAAACCGGCCCTTAATACAGCCCTCATAAAGACAGACACACAGTTAAAATCCAATTGTTGTTTATTCTGTAAAATAATATTTTTATTTGAAGGAGCTTTAAAATTGTACAACATTAACATATCATGTTATAATACAAATATATTATAAGTCTATTTACATAAAAGCCAATTCTCTGGCATACAAGGGCTATAAAACCTTGAATATTGATAATATTAGAAATCCTTTCTGAGTCATAAAATATTCCAGTATTAAAACAACAACTCCATATTGAAAACTCTGTTCATTTGTTAATAATAGTTTTAGTCGACTTTCTCTACTTTGCCAATAATTTTCCCATCAAACATTGGTAACTCCATGTTGTCATCWCGAACTTCTTCATAAACAACAGTAACYTCACAATCCCGTTCATCTGTCTTTGTTTTGAAGAAATATCTACAAAAAATAGAAATTCAACTTAAGATAAGTAACTGTAAATACGACTTAGCAAATTCACAGAGAAAAAACAGATGAATGCGTCTTGTTAGTCTAACAGGGAAGACGGCATTTGATTACAAAAGTATGCTAAATAACCAATGAAATTCTGTTGTGAGATCAACCAGGTGTTGTACRTAGTCTTGAKAAAGRCAGTCATAGTTTGCTGATGTTTTGACAACTTGAGCAGAAGTCATCTTTATACAACACCATCATAATTTGCACCTTGTTTCAAAACATTCTAAAACTAGGTGTCAAAACCACTTTTTTTCAACACAGCTGACCTTCTTATCAATATTTAACTCACATCAAAATGATAAGTTTGTATTTACCTGAATTCTCCTCTACGAGGGGTAAGTTGTGTCTTGAACTGTCCCAGAGTAATATGTCTTCCTGGTAAAGATGTTCTATACGCAATAGGCTCACCCCAAAGCCAGTAAATCAATGTGGTTGCATTATGTTTCTCCTTTTTTCTTACGCCTCCACCAATACCACTGTCTGACCGACTTTTCGTATCATTTCCCATATTTGATGCTGATGATGGTAATGATGAATAAGATTGATGTTGATTTAAATCATAGGAAAGTAATGATTGACTACAGCTTGATGCATCGGTAGTGCTTGCTTTGCCGTAGTATGAAGACTGATCRCTTGAATCCTCAACACTGTTTCGAGATCTGAAAAGATAATAATATCAGTGTTATTACATCCAATATACATGAAAACTTCATCAAGCTGCTAACAACATTGTAAACTTCTTRAAAATCATTCAAATTAATTACCTGTGTCTTTGTTTGCTTTTACGATCATGTTCTTTGGTTTCCATGCAGAGTCTACGGCTGACTTCACTGAGCACTGTTGTAGCTTCTGGACCATGTAGAAGAGGCATCATTGGATCTTGAGCAATGGGTTGCAAAGGTTGATGGTGTCCACCATAACTATCTGAACAACTGCTAGAAGACTGACGRCTTTTTGATTGATGAGATTTAGGTTTTTGTTTCTTTAATTCTTCTTCGCCAGTTGCCATCCACTCTTGGATACGGTGATGATTTGCAGTCAAAAATGGGATTTCGTCATTTGGTACATTATGGTTTCTAACTTTAGGTTCTTTGTACATATTAGGTGGTAATTGTTCATTTAGTCTATTAACTGGTTCACTCTCGTGCTTAGAAGATTTATGCCCATGCCGTGCATTGCGATATTTCCGGTGAGTACTCTCACTACTACTACTATTTTGTGCAGCTGATCCTGCAGTTGCACGTGCACTGGTGCTTTTTGACGAGGAATGGTTGGATGTACTTATTGAAGATGAGTCATCCTGCATAGGTAAATGGACCATTGTACTGAGAGGAATCTTATCTCGTCTTTCCTTGTTTTCAATTGCTTCTTGTAGAATTGACTTTTTGGACTGGGAGCTGCCAGGTCTCTCAACCTAAAATAGCAACGCCACAATATTATTACAATGTTTGCTTCRAATAATGAAGATTTTAGATGAAATTTAAAAGGGAATATTCAAAAAAGACTGAGAAGCTGGAAGTGGTTCAAAGGAAACTAAGAAAAGGTTACTATAAGAATAATTCATATTAATACATTATTTAACTATTTGTAAGTAAATTTTGACATCATTACTCAAAAATATTGTACAGTAGTAATACATTCTATAAGGTCTTTGATGAATAAACCAAAAACAATTTTTACTATTTGTCTGTTTTACTTACATCAAGAGACTGTGACAGGTTTATAGCTTCTCGTTCTTGCATTTGTTGTTCAAGTTTAACTTTCTCTAGCTTTTCAGTCAAGATTTTGGCAAATTCTTCAGGATTCAAGGGYTGTCTGGCTTCTTTAGGCATTCTGTGTGTGCGCTGTAACAACAMATAAYAAAAATCACATCAATTTCTGCTATTTTATTCTTCCATATATGCATAAATTGTTTAGTAAAAAAATTAAAATGGTCGAAAAGGAGCAAAATAATTATTGTACAGAAATGTAGTGTATATAGCTTAGATGGTTGTAAAATTCCATATGTAAAAACACTATCCTTAAAATAAAACTATATCATGAGATTTATTAAAAAGATTGAAGGTTGCTTGAAGTACAGTTTTGTTTGACTTGACAGTACCATGTGTTACAGTATTCAAACTCCATCTCTTTCAGGTTAAAGCTTGAATTCACAATGAAATCCATGTCCATAAAATTACAATTGACGAAGTTACATGTAAAGCACCAAAAGAACATGTTGCTTGTGAATTAATCTATAATTAACTGGACTGGTGTCCAAAGAAAAACCAGGAAACCTAAATGGTTGCTGTTTTAAGTTGTAGATATTTTAGTCTTGATATATAAGGTAAACAAAATGTGTTGTATTTTTTATACATACTGGAATAAATGGATATCTTGGTTGTGTTGATCTATTATTTCTATGTGCTCTCCTGTTGCCACTGTATCTTGTGCCATCGCTGGTGCTGAAATTACACAACAACAATTAATTATGCAGTTGAAAAGAGAGCAACAATACATTGGATTTCTATTAAGATGTAAAAGAGTTATAACTAGTGAAAAAAACATTAATGAGAAATAATGTACAATAAAATCTCTTAACTATTTTTTTGTCATCAAACATTTACAGTTTTGACTGTCATTAATTAGTGCAAYGAGTTTCACAATTAATTAAAAAGATAAGAACTTCAATTAAAAATATTTTACCACAGAATGATCACAATTAACTGCAGATGTAGAAACCAAAAAATCAAAAAACTTCTAAGAACACAYTGATCAAGTTTTCTAGAAGGTTTCATCACTTACTCTGTAGTCATTGATAGAGTATCATCTGTAAGAGCATCACTCGATATGCTTTCTGATTCTGTTATTGATGCTAAGGGTGCAGTWGGATAGTAATAAGGTGAGCTGCCATCTTTAATAGGGTTATGAAGCAATTTTCTGTAGAACAATAGTTWMAGGTGATTAATATGCCTTTTTGCTAGTCTAAACAAGGTGCACTAAGCACCATGTAATTACTTTTGAGAAGGTGAATTGTAAATATAAGTTTTAAACGGTTCAACGAACATCTTACTTCTGTAGTGTTAAAATTAGAACTAGGCATGTTTTGCCAAGATAATCTTGATAACTTTTTAATATAAACCTGTTAAATGCATCTTTACCAACTTTGAAACCAAATTAAAGAGATGGAAAATAATTATCATGGATGAGATAAAAGGTCATGAAAAAAGGATTAAAATAGAAATCAATATGATTTAATTACAGTTGTAATGAGAAACATGACTTGACATCAAGATTGGCAAACCAGCTGAAAATGATTTTCRAAAACAATTAAATGAYTACYGATATGACTCCAGCCTGCTCGCATTCATAAGCTTCATTAACAACATTTGGAAAACATTGAGGGATCAGGAAAAGAAAAAAAAAGTTAAGTCATCTCATTTTATGTATTTAAGATTCATTAAATGCATATTAAAGTAAAAAACATCTGTTTAGTTGATCTTTGTTGCTTGGGTTAGGTTAACACAAGCATGGTTTAGAATATCCTAGATTATCCATACAGACCAGTGATCACAATAAGATCTCTCAATTTTAAACCTGTAACACTTGTCATAACACTCTACTGGTTTGTATTAATTTCATAATTAGCAGCGAAAATGACTGCTCTTTCTGTATGGAATATGCACTCTTGATGAAGTAAAATAATTAAAGTCGTATAAAATAGAAAATCTATTTGTGGTTGGTTGCGACCACCAGTGAATAATGGTTCTAACACAGTTGGATATCAYGGACTTGGTATAGTTTACTTGTTTAACAGTCCTCTATAAAGCTTAGTGTTGCTACTTGAAAATATTACTTTGATTTCATTCCCTTTTGGCAGTAATATCAGAATCAAATTAGATAGGATCATAATTGCTTCAGCTTTGCTCAACTATGTAATGCAATACATATCAAAGACAAACTCTTGGCCCTGCTGTAATTTGAATAACATATGAAAGGAACATTATAACTTATTATAAATTAGGCCAAGTCAATATTGATTTGAGCTGCCAATTAAAAAATATGAAAGATATAAGAGCTGTTCACAAAATTGTATCATGTACACTAAGGGTAAAATCTTAGATCTTGGCTTCAATGCAGTAACCTAACACTGGTTTGTGAAACAGTGGTTTATGAATTAAGTATAAATAGGTCAGCACTTGAAGCTCTCGATAACTAAGATACGCGTAAACAATACGGAATTAACTTTCCATAAAATCTCAAATGTGATGGAATTACTGTGATCACCGACATTATCATAAAAAAATCGGCTGAATGAAGGGCATTTGATTGAAACAGACACCAAATGAAATTGACAAGAGCCTTTGAAATTDACATGGTAAGAAAGATTTGTTTTCGCGGGTCTGATTTCTAAAGTCCCTCTCGGCGAGAAATAGCGATCGCAGTTTAATTACTACGGCGTCTAAGACGTCGAATTAAGATGAACATTTACCGAACATATTAGCTATAACAGAGATTACGAATGGTGCTTCTTTTGCCGCGATTGAAGTATTTAATCTTAAGAAGTACCGAACTCCTGGGAACTATTCCCGATTCCGACAATAGCAGATCTGATACACGGACCCTTGTAAGCCCCCTGGTTCTTTCTAAATACGTTGATATCCAAACATCACGAAAATATGGAGTCCACCTAGGGTTTCCCTTTGCTAATGCTTGTAGTAAAAAGCCAGTAAAATGTCTGCACGCGCACTTCAAAAGTGACATTCCGTGATGGTCCACGAGCATGGCTATTTTGCGTTTCAAACCTTTATAAACAGAACTCAAGTCTCTTGAAAACCGTGTTATTTAGACGGTTACAACAACAAAGCAACGGTCGGTGAAAGAAAGTAAACTTCTAGTGAGAAATCGTGTCTTAAGCGCACAATCTATGAAATAGCTTTGTCATTTTAGCATAGATACTTGTCACATCATAGATACGAGTGAAGATGAGTGAACATTCACCAAGATATAAACATGACATAACACAATGAATCAAACACAGTTCACACTGAGTATCAAGTGTTATGTTGAACTCTGCTTCAAATCACTACATTCCTCTAAACACCATTATAACTTGCAAACTATTCTCACCTTGCATTTTTTTCGTCCGATGTAGAGTTGGTCTGTACATACAACGGTCGTTTAGTGTTCTTGCAATGTTGTTCATATTCAAAGTCTTCCATTTCATCACCAAATCCAAGCACCTTTTCCTCAGGTAAAGTAGGAAGGTAACCACTCTGGTATCTTCTATTATAAGGTTCATTTATTATTTTAGACTCAGCCTGTACTTCTGCAGAATCTTTGAAGAAACTGGAGTTTAAAAAAGCTTTATAGTGTAAATTTTTCATGTTTGCTACAACTTGAGAATAAGCCTCTTCAAAGATCTGAGGATCTATAGGTTGGACGCTTATAAGTTCGACAATTTTAGATCGACTACTTGGTTTAATACCCAACTGATCGCAAGTTCCTCGAGTTGCTATATATTGCTGGAAGACAGCTTTACCAGCAGATAGTTTTTGTGGAGCGGTGTTGACAATCCCTCGGAACTCGTCGCAAGCACGACAGAAATCCAGGAGAATGTGACAATTTATTCTCCGCAAATACTGATAAAAAACAAAACGCCCCTCTGAATCGCTCAGCATATCCGAAAAACATCCAGCTTCACGAAATGTAGGAGTAGAGACCGCTTCTCCTTCGGGTTCAAAGCCGAGGGGAGCCAACTTATCTTCATCACTGGTATGAACGTAACTTGCCGGTAATTCCTTTGCAGTATATCTTCTTGGTGTAAGTCTTGGACTAGGACATTCAGCCTTGGATGAGCCACTAATGGCTTCTTTCGATCGTATAGTTTCACTCGAGTCTTCTCCCGTTGGAGGTGGTCTAGGCATAGTACACAATTCGCTGTTTAGTGATTCACCTTCACGTGTAGATTGTGCTTGTTGTGAATCTAGTGTATAAGCAAGTCTGCTCGATATATCATCCTTAGTCACTGTCGAATCCATCGTGACAATAAATGCACGGAGTAAACCGGCATTGAATCCACACAGATCACCAAATCTGCTTCGCAAAGAAGAATCTTCGGGGTGTAAGTGAATAGTCGCGGAGATCAAAGAGACCGCTACGGCCCAAAGCAAATACCATTCAAACAGAGTAATGCTCCGTTGAACTTCTTAAATTATACTTTTGCCATGGAATCGATCATTACACATCACTTTTTCACCTAAACATACACTATATTGAGAGAAAATATCAAAACCGCCTGTTCTAAGCCTCCACCATCGGATAGCTTGCAAAGTTATCGGTAGCTTTTACATTTGGGCTCACAATGTTATTTAGTTCGGCAAAAGACTGCAAAATCAAGTTCAAAGGATACCGCTTTCAAGGCGGCGCTAGTACGATCAATCCCTTAGGTGTAGACGTCATCATGTAAAGACAAGCCGCACCAATCAGAACTATCGATGATGGCTCCTACCGCACGTGCTTATTGGCATCTACAACACATCCAAGACCGATTTAATTAAGTACAGCTGCGAAGAGGCATTTGACTTACTTCGTTCCTAAAAAATCTCTGGTTTGGTCAGTGCTTCGGACAGTCAGGCTAACATACAAGCTAGCGATGGATGTGTTTCGGTCATTCAATACGAGACTGACATGTCTTTTGGTGTTGAATATCGATTAATTGTCGGGATTCGTTTAGACCACAAAACGAGTCATTACGAATCTGGATAAGGGAAAGCGGAATGTACCAAAGAATATAGTTGTCAATCACATATGACAACCGACGGTCGGCGAATGCTTCCTACTAAATTTGTTCGTAATTTTCAATCACTTCTTTTTAGGCCTGGCTTTGAATTCATTTCATATTATTATTAACAATTCTTCAATCAAGATTTCAATGTGTTTTCATAGCAAATCAAGCCGATTTGTACAGAYCGCTCGGCCGGCATTTGCCGCGCGCTTTTAATCACAACTTTTTAGTCCTATTCAACACAGCTAATGAATTTTTTGATTTGTCGTAATGCCGGTCTCACGGTTAACATGTTATTGGCTATATTAAGACATCGTAATATCTTACTGCCTTTATATCTGCCTCAAAACAACAAAGAGACTTTTTAAAAACTTGTCCCGATAGCTTTCGAAATTTGATTGTATGAGCTTGTGTTTTGAACAGTGTAATTTGACAACAGTCGATGCGTTTAAAGTTATTAATTCTATTGCTCGCTTCGAGGTTCGATGAGCAAATAAATGAAGGGCAAAATTCAATGGGTTTTCAGTATTTTTTGGTAGGTAGTTAGATCGTAGAGTCTGTAGATTGCGGCGTCTTTCATGTGACGTCTGATGTTTGATGAGAGGAACTAATGTTTTAGATCATTTTTCCCAAGTTTTTGTCTTGTGTTGATTCTCTCTTGATCTGAGAATTATTCAGAGAACTAAGTTCAATATTGACAACAGAATCTTCCGTATTTGCCCCTCAGAAACTCAATATATAAGACGTGACTCAAGAAAGCTGAGGTGGTCGTGATGAAAACTACGTTACATGCTTGTTTTATTGATAGACAAAGCGATATGGTCTGCAAGCGACTCTTGATCAGCCAAACCAACAGGGATTTTCTTACGGCGATCAATACTCTGTAAAGGCAAACTAAGCAAAGAAACCGAAATTAGCAGCGGTAGAACACAAGAAGCGTCTTAATAATAATGATCAGAGAAGGTGTGTATGCCGCTTTGATGCTTTTCTTCAGTGGTTGTTTGTCTTTTACAGCATTAAGCTTTGTTCTCGTGCCGAGAGTCCGGCTAAATTACTGGCTAAGAATATTACGAGTCGCAATTAAATATCATCACCTTGTGAATATATTAATCGAAAGCGGCTTTACGCGACTGAACCTATAAAAAACTCCTTCAAAGTGAATCATTTAAGAGACACGACTTTTGCTTTCCAGTACCGGAAGCGCATTCTCACAAACCGGAAGTCTAAAAAGAATTCATTTTCAACCTCTTGTCKCCATTACCAACAACGCTTTGATGCAAAATAAATAGAAAATTTGAATCGAACTTTTGATCGTCCAAAAGAACAAYTGATCCGCTCCACAGATCAGACAAGCTTGCTAATTGCAAATAGATGATTTTTTGTTTTATCTTTTCTTTTTGAAAAGAACAAGCGTATATTTCAAAAAAAAGAGCGATGGCCTATTCTTTTCAAGGAAAAAGTCGTTGTGACTCTACGTCAAGTAATACCAGTCGCGTTGTCCGCGCCATATGTGATTTCGCTCATGGTCGCCTTACCGACAATACTTATATATCCACGCAAATGCTAAAACCATTGCAAAGAAATTACATTTTCGTCAAACAAAGAATGGCTGTAGACTTTGGAATTGAATCATTATAATGGCTTCAACATTTTCCAGCAGACACATTGAGAGATTTTTATCAGCTTATGATGATCATCATTTATTTCCGGCTTGGAATCATGCGAGACTTTTCACTGCATACCGAGGTGGCATACCAGACTTTTGTCCTCAAAAAAAAAAAAATTCTAAATTGAGAAACTTCTTTTTTTACTAGTTTTCAACTCAGACATTACATACATTTAAATAAATTTTAAAACTAAAATTATAATTCGTTGAATTTTTTTTATATTTTTTTATTTTTCATTAGCGTTATCGTTTCAAATTCATTCATAAAAATTTCGGCAATTCTTTGTCTCCCATAGAGTTTTATCCCTGCTATTATCTATTCCTGACGAAACTGCTGTTGTCAATACAACATCGATACCAACGCGATACTTTGTGTCTGTGAATTGAGTGTTTTTGTTTCGGAACAAGATCAAAGCTTGAAAACCAACAGGCTTTCGCACCACTGCTGTACTCGACCGGCGAGGTGCCTCTATCATTTCACTGTTCAACCATAACAAATATGATTTGACGATAGTGCACCGCTTTGATGCCCCCTGCAACATTAATTCTTAACAGAAATCTTATCAAACAATATTTTCTAATAAAGGTAAATTCAATTCTCGCACAGTTATTATGATCGATAGTATTTCTATGGGTGGRTAGTGAAACAACTCCCTTGTCCTCCCCTTCATAATTGCTTTGCAATTACCGGATTAACCAGTTCYTGGTCATATAAATATTTTTCRTTTTTGGGGGGTAAGAAGTCGAAGAGAAGGGTTTTTGCTTTAGAATTTTATCTTTTAAATACCATAAGCTATTTCTTATAATTGATTTATGCGAAAACCAATGAAGGAATTACCAGTTAACCACCATAACAAACTAGTGGTAAAAAAATAAAACCTGCCAATTTATAACTCTTCAGAATATAATATATAGTGAATCTTTTAAGCAAACTCTACAATTCAAAATGGTATTCAATCTCCTGTTTTCATTGGCTCATTTCGCTATCGTATTCCGCATTACAGAGCAATGAGGACTACAGGATGGTATAGTATAACATAAGGAATCGATTTGAATGAAGATAGCACGCCGGCCGGCTCTAGAGGGCGTGCCGTTCATCACAACAAATATCAGGATGATGATCCTGAATAATGTCCATTAAATGTTGCCGCGGCTTAAGCATGTCTCATGGATCGCACACACAACACCACAAACCTAGAACTACCACTGGACGATAAAAGRAAAATATAAATAAAGGTTTTGCTGTCAGAATTTGAATGTATTTAAATATCTTAGTTTGAATTTCTTATTATTTTATAATGACTGTAATAGTCTGAAAAGAATATGGCAAGTAATCGAGTAGAACATCCGGCATGATTAGAAAACGATTCTCAAGATGTCCCACTTCAGGATCACTTACATCCYTTACATAGCTCACGTGGAGGTCACATGTATGCTAATAACCCGATATTGGAAAATCATGGCTCAAAGCACCATTCAACTCCAGACAAGGATCAAAATATCGAGGGAAATATATAAGGCATGCACTGGAAATTAGTTTTGCCTGGTGTAAGCCTGAAGGAATCGTHCGTCGAAGAAAAGTTAGATTATCTGATTCCTCGATTTATCGTTCAGATAAAATCAAATGATCTGATCGTTTAGCAATAACTGTATAGAGYCATAATCATTATTAAACTACTACTACTATTTCATTATATTCAAAACCATATAGTTTTAAACCTCTCATTACTATTCATAGAGTATTAATTTTTATAAGAGAAAGCACAATACGATCTTTGAAGTACTAGTTATTTATAGACAAGAGCAACAATATATTTTTAGAAGGTGTAAGCCGGTCAAGTAGAGGGTTTATATGAAGTACTGTATCAAGACATTACTAGTTTGAATATATCACCCAAGCTGCCATCATCACCCACTCTCCCGACTACCCCCAACCCTGGTTTCATACTAAGAACAGTCGTGCTGTCCAAGGCACTGTGGCGATAATGATGGCGTAACAGCAGGGTAAGTTTTACGACCACCCTAATAGAACCATTTGAGGTCAAGGGTATACTGTTAACTATTGAAAATATGGTACGACTGCAGTTAACGTTCAAAATACTGTTGGAAACGCCTTCTTTCAGTATTAGTTAACTGGGCGTGGCACGTTGGGCGTTACGTAAAACTGTGATAATCTATTATACTATTTTTGATGACCACTATAAAGTCAGTATTATATATATATATTTTATTTCTGATGAAGAGGCTATTCTGATAAGCATAAGATAACGTTCGGAAGTAAAGAGCGATCATTTGAGAACAAAGAACTAATAATGTTAACCCTGCCCTTCTGCGCATGACAGCTAATACAACAAGGAATCCAACATTACCAGAYATCATCACAAGCACAAGCATACATGATCGTTCGTGATTATGGCATATATGTTAGGACGGGTTTTCTTAGATCTACCACGTGCAACACAGCCCAGAGCATAAACAGTATTTATTTCGTGCTTGATGTTAATAACAAGAACTCTAGGATCGCGAACCTACAATTTTTCAACCAACCAATTTAATCTCATATTATAKGATGTCATATGTACATCATAAGCCAATCATCAGAGGCTTAGTGAAACTTTGTTTCACGGGTTTACTTTACMCTTTCCGTGAAACACTAAGAAAACGTTATTGAAACAAAGAAAACAATTAAAATAATATCTGCAACTAACTAATAGCCAACTATCTGACGTCAYTAAACCCGTGAAACAGAGTTTGACTATTAAGGTGTGATACTCAAATAAACACAAAAGAAAACAATGGAGGGGAGGGGTAAGTGTGTCAGTTTAAATATCTAGTTCACGGTTTGTTACTTCATTCTGAGTACTATTTCACGGGTTTAGTGTAACGACTTAGTTTTGTGCAATGTGGCTCATAGAACTCTCGAATATGAAATGACACGAAACCGCACTAATAAAAAAACAGCAGACAAAGGATATTGTACAAATCAAGTTACTTCGCGGATACATGTCTCAGAGTATAGACTTGGTGAGCGTCTTATTAGTGAGCTATACTATATAGATTTATCTACCTGTCTAGGGTGCTGTGTTATACTGTTGTACTTTGTCCTTCTTTCAAAATGGCGCGTGCTAAGTTTCTTGCAAGTGCAAGTCTTAAAAGAGATATCTTGTCTTGTTCGTCGTCACTGGGAGCCTAAAGACAGAAAACATGATGAGTACTAGAACTGGGGTAAAGATCACCAAATCTACAATGTGCAACACAGAGAAAGAGAGTTTATTCCGTCCTTCATGACAATAACGAGAACTCCATGATGGCGAAGCACAATTTTTCAAGAAACTACTTTAATCTCATCACTGAAGAATATAAAAAAAACTATTGACTTTGCCTCCCTCCCTTCGCACYACAACTGTCACCTCTAATCAAAATGTATCGTTCTCTCAGACTAAATGTCTGAGCCAGATGTACTAAAACAATTTACCTTCACAATAGAAATAAGCAGTCATCACAATTAATTACAGCGTCCCGCTTCCAGCCACAACACACCGACCATTCACGCATAATGAAACGGAAGCACAAAGGTACGCCAAGCAAATAAACAACCATACAAACATGCCTAAGGGAACCGCYATTAAAAAGCCACGGTCAATCAGACACACTAAGCCTGGGCTATTAAAGTTAAGTCTATAATTCAGGCGTCTGGGGTGTTAAAGACAGGATATAARCACTCTAGAGGAATTTAAGCAAGCATTATGAAACATCTGATGAAATATTCATCATTATCACAGCTATCAYCATCATTTTATATGTTCAATAATCATAACCTAATCACCTGTTTCACTCTCCATAACAATCGTTATCATCTATCTACAACTATCATCATCATCATCATCCTATATGTCCATCACTCTCTTCACTCCATCACCCTCCTCATAATCATTGTCATTAGCATCATTCTGTATTCTATTAACAGTCATAATATCAATATTCCATCATCGATTACTTTCTCACTGAAATACCAGCACAGATTGGTAAAACTTACAAAACTGTAAGTAATACTAGTTATCCATGAAGATATCTAAATAAAGTTACGATCGAAGTACCCTTTGGCTGTAATGAAGCGTTGAATATGATTGGTTTAGTGTTACAGTAAGTATCCTATAGTAATTACGACAAAATATCCCCCACAAAGAAAACTGAACAATAAATATAATCAAGATGGGTGGGGTGGGGACACAATTATATCATTTAAAATAACCAGCCAGTAGGAAGTGACGTAGGTATAGCGTTCTAATTGCTAATCAGACAGGAACACCGGTTGATTAAAAAAGAATTTTACATCAGACAAGCAATTAAATGATGAAATTGGTTGCTATCTGGCGCGGGACATTTAGGGTGCTATCACGATACGATCAAGTGTTCCTTTTGAGTGGGTTCTAGAACACCATAACATCGTCGGTTGTAAATACACATGGAGCAGTGGGAGAGCTGTTTTCATCATTTTGAATGAGTTTTTTGTGCGAGCCCATAGTRACTAAACTGACTTATTCTTAGTAAACGAACTACCAGCAATCTAACACTTGAATGGCTTCAATCACAAAATTCGAACATTTSAATTACTTGATGGAAGTTTTCAAAACTGACGACAAAAGGTTCTCTCTGCTTAAAACCTGAAAATAATGTTGTATTCTGGAAAGAAAACTTAAGCGGGGGTGTATATCGTTGTCTGGGCAACCAATCTYTAATTTCATAATTGAAAAAAAGGTAAAAAAACACGTTCATGAGTTACAGCTGGTCATAATTTGTAAAGTTTTTTTTTAAATATACTTCTATCTTTTAAAATAGCTTTTATGTTATACGCATTAGAACTAAACTACTGTATGATAAGGTCAAAAACAGTCTGTTGATTGGATGGGTACGTCGGCGGTGTTCAGCAGTGGAGGAGTTAGTACTTCCGACTGACTTACTATTTTAAGAGAGCTTTTCCACCAATTACCTGCTTCATGGCTGAACAGCCCACGATCCGACACTTGTAATCTAGTTTGATCCCGCGAATTATTCTTTTATGATTCAGAAGTGTGACGCTCCACTACTAACTTGAAGTTCTATTGGTATTTCAATGTACATTAAGAGCTCTAGTTTTCAGTCACGTATAGGTCGACTAAGGGTTTTGAAGATAAAGACTCTTGATAAACTTTCAAGTTATCTGATACATCAGGAATACAGTAAAAAACAAATAATCGACAAAAATKACAATAAAAYTGAACACAGTTAACGAAATAATCGTCTAGAAAGTGCGCGAAACCTTTCTTCTCKAGTTCTACAAAGCCCGTGTTTGTTGATACAATGAAATCTCATTTTATCATATCTACAGAGAATGTTTTCAACCATGTCTTCTTCTAAGGTATCATTTATTTGATCATTTTTTATTCCATTCAGTTAATTTCTATTTCTTGTTTTGGATTTACTATGCCTTATTTTAACAATTTTAATTCCGATAAAAAAGCCCAAAAACAGATGTACAGGACGACATAAGAAGAAAAGAAAGAAAGAAAGAAAAAATAATAATATCTATCACTCGAAGGAAAATTTTAAAACACAAAATAGTCACAAAACGAGAAAAATATTCGTATTTTCGGTCCACCTAAAACGTACAAAACGGATGGGAATCCAGTTATAAGAATCCGTGTGATTGTTAATGCTAGCATAAAGGAGCCGACCTATGATAATATAATAATTATTCTTGAAACCATCCCGGTGTTTCGTTCCTGTTAGAACCACTTGAAAAGCTATCAAGTTAACGATTAAACGGCACCTTTGTCACTAGTGTTTGAAGTCACCGCCACAACACACCAACAAAACTGATCGAATCCCGTTAATTATGCATCAAAGAAACAACCGTCATCTCACACTGAAAACCCATCAAAAAACCTTGCAAAGTTCACATGGAGCAACGAATCAGAGCCAACTCTTCTTGTCAAAATAGTTTTGTAATAAAACAAAACATTGGCAAGTATCAAGATCGTCTTATAGAAAGATCGCACAGCAATTTTTTACCTTGAAAAAGGAAGCAATTCCCGCACAAAGTGAACAAGGAAACATACTTTCGATTCCTATTTCATAAATGATATTAGAGTGGGTTTGAGATAAAAAGTTTTCATTTTTATACATTGCATGTCTCGACGGCTTTTTGTTTTGTAAACTGGCTCAACTGGAAGCCTGAGCATAACATAGATGTTTTGAATGAATCACCAGCAAATCTTTGGAAAACCTTGAACTACTAATAGATTCAAAACGATACTACACAATTAGAAGACTCGATCAATGATTCGAAATATACAGGCAGAATTCGTGTAAAAATCAAATTCTGCAAATATGTATAAAACGAATGACACCATTCAAGATGAATTGAAAATATCACAAGCTCATCTCATTGCGGTTCCTTTATCRGGAATCTCAAATGAACGCAAATTCCAAAAAAAGTCTCCAATTTGAAAAGGAATTTTTTGATATTGTGTTTGAATTGAATAGTACTTAAAATGGAATAGATTTTGACAGATCTTTTTAGAAAAAAGTCACCGCTCGCGAAACATAGCGATTGGCTAGGAATATTGATCTTTAATTCTGGTAAACCATTTAAATGTCATAGCACTTAACTGGCTTTATTTCAAATTCACGAAATAACATCACGTTTGATTTTAGAAATCCCCGAAATCATCCAAACATCACCAAAACGAGCGTTTGYTTTTYATAACAACCTTTCGAACTGTACTTTTCTTCACACAACAAATACATGAAATCAGTTTTAATGATGACAAATATCAAACGTACTGACAGACCCGAGCATTAAAGTCGAATTGTTTGAGAAAWAGTTGATTTATGATTGTATGTTCATGGTGTCCAAGTGGAAGAAGGCTTGCAATTAGTGTGCTTGGTAGGCAATTGAACAGGTTATGGATCACAAGGATCAAACGAACCCGCCAAATGGCTGGTATTGTACCGTAACCATGACAATTCACTGGAAATTACCAGCTTACATTGGATAATTAAAACATATTCTTCGATCGAATATAGAACATTATTAAATACGCGAAGCTGACACCGGCTGTTACACCTCTGTTCCATTTCACAAAAAAGCGTCTCTGTTTGAAATGAAGTGTAAAACTTCGAAAACAAATCTTCAAAGAAAAAAACTGATGATTGAATAAAAACTTCCTTGCAGCCGAAATGCACAATACGATAAATAATGACCTACAAAAAGTTGTGAGTGAGTRAGTAATGTGTGTATTACAAAAACGCGTGTTTCATCGTCTGGTATTGTCTGCGATCCACCAGTTTTCAACTTTAGATAGTTATATTTTTTTATTATCTGCAAAATGTAAAGAACGTTGGTCGAAAACCAACATTTTGTAGGGTGGWCTTGAAATAAATTGTGGACGTACCTTATTTGTTTTTGGATGTTTTCCCTTCTTTCCTACTTTTCTATTTTCTCTCTTCTTATCTTCAAGTTCCTCTGTGGTATGCATGTATTCTGAAGATCGAAAAGAAAGGCAGATCTCCTGTAGACAGTGCAGCAGCTCATATGTTTGACTGCTACTAAAAATGACCTAAAAACAAATACAAAATGAAATTGAAAATGAAGAGAAGACTAAATGATTGAAAGAATGGATGGATAGATTCACAAATGAGTAAAAACATCAAAYATCCATACTTTCATTTCATACTTTCATAGATTATTTGAATAA